CACAGGTTCATATATGAAACTAAACTCATAATAATTGTATCAATAATTGGAATAAGAAAATATCTTTGTCTAAGTACTTAGAGCTTTTTAATAAAAATTATTGGACTAATTTTTTAAAACGTCTGAATTTATAAACTTAATCTAATTTGATTTTATAAAATTTGCACAATTTACACAGAAAATTTATTTTTGGTTTTAATATAACACAAATTATATAATCACTCATTTACCATGTTTGAATTATTTCAAATTTCAAATTAGTTTGGTCTGTGGACTAAAGAAGGGTATATGTGTGTTTTTTTTTGTTTTTTTTTTTTGTTTTAGGGTATATGTATGTTTCATAAGAATTCATTCTTTGGAAAAACAAGCACCACATGTACTCACCATCAAATTGGTATTAAGTGATCAACACTTAAGTTCACATATGGTAATAACGTTCATCCTGTATCAGGTGATGGCGAGGGAGGAGGGGATGGGTATATACACACCTAATGGGTGTGGTGTGCACTGTCTGGGGGATGGACACGCTTCAAACTTTGACTCAGGTGGGGCAAAGGCAATATATGTAACCTAAACATTTGAACCCCCATATTATGCTGAAATAAAAAAAATTAAAAAAATCATTCATTATGAAATGTCTATCAAGTGCCCTCGTCTGGTGTCCTGTAGTGTCAGATTCTGAGAGATGGCAGACAATAAGACAATCATGCCGAGGCAGGAGGATCATTTGAGCTCAGGAGTTCGAGACCAGGCTGAGCAAGAGCGAGACCCTGTCTGTACTAAAAATAGAAAGAAATTAGCTGGACAACTAAAAATATATAGAAAAAATCAGCCGGGCATGGTGGCACATGCCTGTAGTCCCAACTACTCGGGAGGCTGAGGCAGGAGGATCGCTTGAGCCCAGGAGTTTGAGGTTGCTGTGAGCTAGGCTGCCGCCATGCGCTCTAACCCAGGCAACAGAATGAGACTCTGTCTCAAAAAAAAAAAAAAAAAAAAGACAATCATGCCTCTACCCATATATTTGTGTTTCTGAGTATTAAAACATGTAGAGAAATAAAGAAAGAATTATTTGTGGTTATGTGATGTCTAAAAACATATGGACTTAGTTTCAATAAAGTGGGGTAGCACTGTTGATACAGTGAATAAAAGAATCCCAAGCACAAATTTACACATCATGGCAGAGACTTGCTGGCAAGGAGACAGGGGTAGATATGGACAGAGAGATATCCAGATGGTTAGTATGGTCCTTTGTGAGCTTGAGCAAATCTTTTCTTTTGTTAGGCCTTCAATTTCTTATTTTTGAAGTGAACAATAGGACCAGATCTTTAAAGGTCTATTACCCTTTTGGTATTAGATATTAGATGACTATAATAGAGTTTCAGTTCTCAGTCTGGATTCCATAGCCAGTGTGGCCAGTGTGCCAGAGATTGGATCTCAGTTTAGACATACAGATATTATAAGAGCTAGGACTAAAACTGGGTCTTCAGGCTGGTAATTATTCCTTTGTACAAGACCAATCAAGTAGTCTTTTTATTCAAGAGTCTACTACCAAGTTTCTTACCACCTTAACCTCAATAGATTAATCTTGATATAGAAGCAAGGTAAATTGAAACATAATAATGGAAACAGAACTGCACAATAGATACTCCTCAATAACTCGAAAGGTCAAAATTGACTCTATTCAGATGATGTTTCTCCCTGTGGATTTGAGGGCACAACATAAGGGGTAGAGTTCTGGTCTAGACTGTATCTCCTGAGTCAATATTTTCAAGTTCTGAAGGAAGAAGAAGTAAGTGTATAGGCTGGGAGACTGGAAATGAGAGAGAGTAGTGGTAACAGGTTAGGAGACAGCAGGAGCTTGGGACAAGAAGCCTAACAGGGCAATGAGAGGCTGGCGGGGAGAAACTAGCTCTTACTGGCTTGGGTAGGAAAAGTCGGTAACTCCATCATACACATGTGGATATGAAAATAAGTCCTATTGCTTTTCCACTTCTCTGAGGAATGTAGCTGGCATGGGATGCCTGGCCAGCCATGAGTTTAAAATGCAACTGGCTTGAAACTTTCAGTCCCCGGAGGATAAAGCAGTAAACCCAAGCATCTGGGAGAGAAATCAAACCAGCTCGTGCTGACTGTGTAATCAGTTCTTTAATCTTAAGGCAAAAGAATAGGAAATAAGGAAGAAACCAACACATGGGCTCAGACGATGGGCCTTGAGGATATTCCAGACCTGAAGAGCAGAATTACAGCCACCGTGTTGCCTTCAGTGACCCACTCCTCCAAAATGCCAAGGTTGATCACTTGTAGTAACCAAAGGATCAGCAAATACTTTTATTAAACCATGGAATCATAGGAAATCCGACAAAAATGAATAGAAAATGCTCTATGTTTCCTATATGTGTGCCCTTAATTAAATTCCCGTAATCTCCTTGACATGACATTTGTAAGAGTATCTAGAAGTCTGCCTGCCACATTCCTAAGCTCTTGGTGAGTGTTGCTTTCTCTTCTTCCCCTTGTTTCTTTCTTAATACCTTATTTTTGCTGTGGACATCTAGATGTCCTCTTCGTATTGAAAGGGAAGAAGCCTTGGAAGAATCCAGAGTTTTATTCAAGAGAGTCATTCTAAAATAAATTAAATATTTTTGTTTATTCCTTAGCATATTTGTCTAAATGAGAGCAGATAGGGGAGATGGATATATTATCTGTTTGATTCTCCAAATAGTTTATTGCCATAATTATTTAAATTAAAGTCTTTTTATTTGTTCATAAGAGACATAAAATGTGAGCCTTCATATATATTTCGAGTACTTGAAAAGAAAAATAAACAAAATCTCACCATGACAGATTCTAAATTCAAAGAAAATGACAGTTTCTGTCTTCATAATTGAGAATATTCAAAGAAGCAAGATGCTTATGCACATATTTTGAAATTATCACCTGAAGCAGTAACTATTAAGCTGTCTTGTCAAGTGCTGCTTGGCTTGCATTTTTAGTAATATTTTTGGTACCCTGGACTTTGTACAGACAAGAGTGTGAATTGCTTGGCTTATAATCTTGGAAGATGCTGCTATTCTGTCTGCTTTTACTTGCTAACAGGATCCTCCTGGAATATCTGATGCAGAAATAGGTCTTCTACGAGTGATTCAAGTAAAAAAAATTAAAATCCATTTGTGTTTTGTATTGGAAAACCATCACAAAGGCCAACAAATATTTGAAACAGAACTAAGTCAGCATTTTGGTTTCCTTCTTTTAAAGAAGAGCTTTTTGATGTTATTTTCCCTTTTGCTAATTCAAATAATATGCACTTAATTAATCTTGTTATAGTAAATGGATAATTTTTACCATTTTCATTTGGTTAGTTGAGGTAGTCTTTTGCATCAAATATTAATCATGACATTTAAGTGTCATTTATAATAAAGAGATTGATATGCTAAATCACTTGGGGAAGAAAACATTAAATAGTTTAATGACAGAATGAAGATATAGACAGCTGGTTTAGAAAATCAGGGACTAACTAGAGTTTACATACATTTTGAGAGAGGACAAAAACAAGATTAATGTAAAGAACTAAGGCTTTTCATAACACTATAATGTGAAGGTTGTTAGGCAAGATAAAATCTTGATGTCTCTCTCTTGTGAATTTAAGGAGCTCAGCAATTGTATCTCATTAGCACTTTTTACTTATGTCTGGGATGGCAGCTCGACTTTTGAGAGGGGCTACCCTAGGTTTATAATTTATTTGCATTTCTTATGCCTCCACATTTATCACATCTTTGGTAGTTGAACAGCATCAATAAATAATGCTGTATTTAATTTCATGTCTAAAGAAATGAGTTTCTGCAAAGTCTTTTACGTATAGCACTCAACGTCTGGAATCACACATTCTGGATTTATTGAAAATCGGTATGGTTTCATTGTTCTGTGTATTTTAGGGGCATTGTAAAGATTTAAAACTAAATTTATATATATGTGGCTTTTGTACACATAGATTCTATACAGGTTTAAGAAATTTCTTAAGTTATAATGACATCTTTATGAAGGTTAAAAATTTGGTTTTATACTGTTGAGGGAGTGGTTGTGGTACATTGAGATTCTCAAAACTGGAGAATTTTGCTAGAAAAGAGATGTCTCCTCTTTGAGTAAATAATATTCCAGAACCTATTTAAACCATACTTAATATTTTTTTTACGTGCTGTATATCTTCAGAATTCTTAAGGTCATTATGCATAAAATAATGTATTAGTAAGAAAGAATTATTCCAGGGATATAACAGGAAATCAGTTAGTATTCAAAATGACAAGGTTATCCATATTACTGAACTATAATTTTTATCTCTATTTTATATTTATCTCTATGTTTGTATCTGTGAATAAATCTATAAATAAGTATTTAGTTATCCAACTTATGAAAGCATCCTGAAGATGGTTTCAATGAAATAAAGATCTATTATTAATTTTAGATTAATGGATTTTCTTTCAAATTTACATTGATGTGTTATTTGTAACATGAAAGAATTAAATAAATGAGCTTGTTTTCATATTTACATGTTTCTCCCTTCTTTTCCACATTTACTCTTCTCATTTTCTTTTTTTAAGCTGTAGTTTCTTTCTTCTCAAACTTTATCTATCCTATTTGTTTATATACTGATCTTTCTTCCAAATATACCTACTGTCCTTTCTCTGCTCCTTCTTGTTAAGCTCATCCCCATTTAATTTTCTTTTATTTTCACTCCAAAATACATGCTTTTTTTCTGGGGCATATTCATATATGTTTATCTTGAGTCATATTGGAGATAATGAATAATAAGTTCTTAATTTTCTTAATTGAAAATATGTGATTCTCTTCTACCAATACTTTATATCAAGCCCCTTTTCTCAATGTTATATATTGATGCTACAGCTATTTCAGAATCTGAATTAGTTTTCTTTAATAAGTTTTTGCTATGTTCCCTGGATATTTTCTATTTTTTGAATTTTTTAATTTTTCTGTTTTATTTTGTACAGTGGGAAGAGATTGGTGAAGTTGATGAAAATTATGCCCCTATCCACACATACCAAGTATGCAAAGTTATGGAGCAGAATCAGAATAACTGGCTTTTGACCAGTTGGATCTCCAACGAAGGTGCTTCCAGAATCTTCATAGAACTCAAATTTACTCTGCGGGACTGCAACAGCCTTCCTGGAGGACTGGGGACCTGTAAGGAAACTTTTAATATGTATTACTTTGAGTCAGATGATGAGAATGGGAGAAACATCAAGGAAAACCAATACATCAAAATTGATACCATTGCTGCTGATGAGAGCTTTACAGAACTTGATCTTGGTGACCGTGTCATGAAACTAAATACGGAGGTCAGAGATGTAGGACCTCTAAGCAAAAAGGGATTTTATCTTGCTTTTCAAGATGTCGGTGCTTGCATTGCTCTGGTTTCTGTGCGTGTGTACTATAAAAAATGCCCTTCTGTGGTACGACACTTGGCTGTTTTTCCTGACACCATCACTGGAGCTGATTCTTCCCAGTTGCTCGAAGTGTCAGGCTCCTGTGTGAACCATTCTGTGACAGACGAACCTCCCAAAATGCACTGCAGCGCTGAAGGGGAGTGGCTGGTGCCCATCGGGAAATGCATGTGCAAGGCAGGATATGAAGAGAAAAATGGCACCTGTCAAGGTAAGAGTTTGCCTGCGGATCTGCAGGGGCTGTCTGCTTCGGTTGGATCATGTATATGTATTTTCTCCAGTGATTATGAGCAAATGACCTTTTACTTTGCTAATTTATGGAGATTATTTCTCTCAGGTTTGATTTCTCTCTTTTCAGAATTTTAAAATTTCTGGCAACCATGAAAGATTTAATGTAATATTTTATCGGATATACATAATTAATGCTCAGAGAGTGTCTGATTTGCAGTGTAATATTTCATATTCATTTTGCTTCCAGAAGTTTTATTTTTGAACGACCCAAGCAAAGGGATTAATAACTTTCATTGTAAGATTATTGTCTGCTACTGCTATTTTCTATCCATGAAGTTGTTTTCCACTCATTACTTCCTGTATAAAATGTGAAACAAAATTTTAGATGAGAATTGTTTTGGCATGCTTTTAACTGCCTTTTAAAATCGCTTCAGAAATAAGTTCAGCCATATGAACTTCACAGCAAAACATTTGTAAACTGACAGGATTAGTTTACTGAGTTGTTTACATATGGTTGCAATTACATGCTTGTTTTTTAAAATTTACAGATCAATTTTAAATGCATAATAAGTAGTGCCCCACAAAAATAACTGTTTGGAGATAAAGCCAATACAAAAGGCCGTTTCAAAGCAATTTGCAATTGGAGATTTTTTCTGTTTAAATTTTTCTTTTAAATTGAAACTTGATCATGCATGCTTTTCTCTTCATTTGAAAATGCCCCTTTTTTTCCCCACAGTGGTGAATTGGGCTTTTAAACTTGGATATTTATCAATATCTTTCAGAAACAGGATAGTACTTTATATCAATGTAAAGAACAACTTATGAGAAGGAAAACAAACGTTTCCTCTTTAAAAAAGTTATTTGCCATCATGAACCTGAACTTGTTTTCACCATGATGTGCGTGTATTAAATAGGTAATGGGAGTGAATGAATATTAAATGAGGAGAAAACCAAATGCTGATCAGTCCCTGAGCCCCACCTGGTAGCTTCAAGTGCATTTTCTTTCTCAGTCCATTATATTATGTGAATCAAACTTACTTTTCTGTTCAGGCTTGACTTTAGACTGATTATTGATGCAGGGAAACAAAACTGGGGAAATTACCTATAAATTATAATGACTTTTGTTAATTCTTTCCAAAAACACATTGCATTTCGCTTAAACTTTTTCATTCAGTATCAGCTCCTATGTTATATCCTTACATAACATGTACGATTAATTCTATGGTTGTTTTTCCATGTAATCTACAATGCCGTACACCTGATTTTATACTTGTTTATACACACACACACAGACACACAAACATATTTATACGTGTACACACACATGCATAGCTGAACGTTTTGTTAAATTGAAATTATGTTTCTGAAATGCTTATAAGATTTTTGGAGAAGTAAGTCATAGTTTGTTCAGGATTGGTATTAAAGGAAAGTTCTAAATAACATTATCTTAACTTTTACTTTTGAGTAGTCTTACTGGTTTCAGATGAGGTTTTATGTAATTGAAGGATCAGAAGCAGGGGTTAAAAACAATCTATTGAACCACATTGCAGTCTAAAATATTCTAAATATTCTAAATCTTAATTATTTCTAAAACTTTGTTTATTAGTATTGTAAAGTCACATGATCCGTTTGTTTACATAATTTTAGAGAATATGTGGTTGCTTTATTTCAGACCACAATGATCTTTGCCTCCATTCCTATTGACAGAGGGTATAAGAGGCCTCTGCACTTTTTAGGAGATAAATTTTGATTCTGCTGGTACTTACCATGAAAATATCTTGGGGAGGTGGTGTTCTGGCAGAATGTTTCTTAAAGCATTTAACACACATCTCTTCTTTCTCTCCTCACACTCTTGTCATAATAACTGAGGAGTAGAGGCCTGAGAGACGGTGGGATGGACTTGGAGAGATTGCACTGTTAAAAACTCTGCTGACTGGATTCCGTCTTAATTCATGTATTTATTACCCTACCCTGGTAGCAGGAGCAAAAGCTGCAGGGGTCATACAGTTTGTTGAATACACAACAGTGGTTCCCAGCTGTTGTGGTACCAGGGACTGGTTTCATGGAAAACAGTTTTTCCACAGACGGGGGATGGGGTGTGTAGGCAGAGCTCAGGCGGTGATTCCAGAGTGTGGGGAGCCACTGTGAATACAGATGAAGCTTCCCTAGCTCCCCCCGCCTCTCACCTCCTGCTGTGCCACTTGGCTTCTAAGTTTTGTGGAAGACAATTTTTCCACAGGGGTGGGTGGTGTGGGTGTGGGGGTTGGGGGTGATGCGCACCTGGGTTCCTAACAGGCCATGGAGCAGTGCCTGGCCACGGCCTGGGGGTTGGGGACCGCAAGACTAGAGAGTGTTCTACACAGTGCAGCCTGTGTAAATAATGCCTTTTGGTGGGTTACCATGTACAAACAGTAAATAGTAGCACTCTTATTCTATAAATAACTTACTGAATGGATAAATAAATGTTGAAAGTTTGCTTTGGAGAATTAAAGTGTCACCAATATTGTTGAGGCATTCTGTCTATACATAATCTGTAAATGCAAATGTGTGTGTTGTGTGTGATACAAAATGCCACCATGGTTCTGACTCATTCTATGATCTTAATGCGCTATCCTCAAGCCTTCAAGTGGGGATCCTGATGTTTTGGAACTATCCTACCAACAGGCCAGAAATCTAGGAATTATCCTTGATGTCTCCTTCCTACTCACTACCCAGTTCCAATCCATCCTAAAGAGTTTATAGAAATTACCACACCACTATCTCTTAAAATCAGCTACTTCCATCTATTTTCTTTTTCCTCCTAGAAGCGAACCTTGTTGGAACTTTATTTTCAAATACACAATGAATATAACATTATATAGAGTTTCGATTTTTGAGCCGTGTGAACGTGTCACCTATACAAAAATGCAAATCTCATTTCACACACCCATGGCCCCCTGCCACCACACACACACACACACACACACACACACACACACACACACACGTGATTTATACATTTCAGTGGTTTCCTTTAAGAAAGATTTTTTGTAGTAGCTTAAGATGCTGCATGGTTTTATTTCTGTTATCCGTCCTGACTCATTTTAAACTGTGCTTCCTCCCCTTCCCTGTGCACTAGCCATGCTAGTTTTTTCCATTTCTCAAATGCAATTCACTCACTTTCACTACGTGAAATATTCTTCTACCTACTTTATGTCTGGTTAGCACATGCTAATACTTCAGATCTGTGCTCCAGTATCTCTTCTGCAGAAAAGCTATCCTTGACTGTTCAAGACAAGGTCAAGCCTCACTACTGTTTACTTATCTTTTCTTCACAGAGCCATTTAGAATTATTATTTTGCACCTATTTGTTGATTTATTATCTGACTAATGATTTTCCTACCCCCATGAGACTGTATACTTCTTGCTGCCAAGGGTGGTGTATGTTAATGTAAGGAATGAGAAAGAAATCAAAAGGCAAGAAAAAGGGAAAGTGAATTCAAGAGAGAGGAAAGCAAATATGCAAAGATGTAAAAGTATACTGTGTTTTTAAATACTGTATTTTGTCGATTTATTTTACCTTTGTATTTATCTGTAGAAAATCTCCTTGGTCTGAAAATTGACCAATGTATATCTTTTTTTTTTTTTGAGACAGAGTCTCACTGTGTTGCCCGGGCTAGAGTGCCATGGCGTCAGCCTAGCTCACAGCAACCTCAAACTCCTGGGCTCAAGCGATCCTCCTGCCTCAGCCTCCCGAGTAGCTGGGACTACAGGCAGGCGCCACCATGCCCGGCTAATTTTTTCTATATATTTTTAGTTGTCCAGTTATTTTCTTTCTAATTTTAGTAGAGACGGGGTCTTGCTCTCGCTCAGGCTGGTTTTGAACTCCTGAGCTCAAACAATCGGCCCGCCTCAATGTGTATCTTTTAAATTGATCCTTTCTTAGTCCTAAGACTCTCAGGCCAAATTCTCAAGTTCCAGGTATTAAGTAATATATGATTGGCACTTCATATATTAACTATTACAGAGGACATCTTAGTGAATTTTATAGAGTCCAAAACATCATATATTGAAATATATTTATAATATGCCTTTATTACATAATGACTTTAGTCGGTTTCTTCAATAAACAATGTTAAGATTTAATTAAGGAAATAATTATGTTAAGAAGCTAAAGTTTTAATATGTCCGTGGTAATGATTGATTTCCTAAGTCTGTGCTGGAAGGTGACCGGGTAGTCACTGTCAGATTATGCTCATGTGACCTGTCATATGTGTGGAGCATAGTGAAGTTAACCCAAGGCCTTTTAGAAAGTAAACCTTTAGGTTTCAGAATGCTAGGCAGCTCATTAACATGTGCTTTCAACAGAAGACAGCCATTCGGGAGTCCTGACCAAATTGGCAATTTGTTATCTGTCATCTTCATACAACTTCTTCTCATTTGAATTCCTTTAAGAGAAATAGACTATCTTACCCTTAATCTGGTTTTGACGAGGTAATAAAATAGTATGGTTTCTATTGTATTAACTTAAAATGCAGTGTGCATTTATTTTTGTAAGGCTTACTTACACACCTACATTTTCTATAATAAACTGCTTTAAGTGTACAAATTTATTTCCTCGAAATGTTTTTTATTTTCAGAAACAATGTCCCAAATCCATTTATCCAAGTATGTTTCCCTACTTGTTATTTATTATTATTTCTGATGAAATTCATGCTATTTTTTTCCCTTAAGAGTCATGTGAAATTTTCTTTTTGAGTACAAAATGGTTGGCAAAAACCCATTTTGGAAGTTTCTGCTTTTTATTGAAGTGAATGTGTTTGACAGAAATAATTGAGTTCACATGAATCAAATGTTGCCTGCTGAGTTCTCTTGTGATTATGTTGCTGACTTACTCAGATGCAAGGCGAGACCACTAATCTTCATCAGTTGCTAGTGGAATGAAGTAGTAATTTGAAATTAGCCCTAGATAATTATAGTTTCACTTATATCAAATGGAGG